CTGAAGTCGTGAGCTTCATCCGCGAGAAGCTCATGCCCACCGCCCAATACGACGTCTCACCGTCCTGGTGCGTAACGGCATAGTGGTCCCGGAACTCTACAAGAATATGGGCGATTGCGCCGAACTTGCAAGCGGTCTCCGCAACCCGGTCAACATTTACGCTCTAAGGGCCTTGAGCGGCCTCTTCTGTACGAAAGCTAAGGGCTCGGAGGCTCAACCCGAGCCTGCTGTCGAGCTGATGCGGCAGAAGTTCGAGAAGGCGTACAACGTACATATCCCTTCAAGGTATCTACTCTCGGCTAAGATCTTCGCCAAGATCCGTAAAGGCGAACCGGTGCGCGAGGACGAATGCGGTTTCGCCCCAGTGAGCGCCAAGATGAAAAGGCGCATGAAATACAACGCCGACACCGGTGAAATCGAGGTTGTGGAAGACGTCCCAGGCTTACCCCGCTCGTCGTTCGGAGCCGCGGATTTGCTGCTGAACATATCGAGGTGGTTGGTTGGCCACTGCGTGCTGCAGAAGCTCAATCCTGCGGAAGCACTCCTCTATCTAATGAGGTTGTGCGACAACTGCCTGCAGTCGGACATCCACACCCTAAGGCGCTTGGACGCAGAGATGAGACTCGAAGCCATCGCCCACCCGACGGAGATGGGCCCTCAGCTGGTCACCGGCAACTCCGACATCGTCACCCGTCACAGGGAATCGTTCAGATCTACTCCATCCTCTGGCCACGGGTCGCGTGCTAACTCTACCTCCAACCCCTCGTCGGTAACATGTCGTCGGTTCGAGCGTACAGGGTGGTGCCCTTACGGAGACGATTGCATCTTCGCCCACAAAACCGGTGGGAAAGGCCACGACACTCGTCGGCAGCACGGTCGCGGCCGTGGCGGCAACACCCAGAACCAAACCTCCAGTAAGTAGGAGAGTGCCCAGCCCCTGCCGTGGCATAGTCAGCGTGCTCGCGGTGGGCTCCGGCCTAAGTTATCCTTCTCTCTTTCCCTCGCCTCATCATCGTGTGTGACATCCGTGCGGCGCGGTCGACTATCGACCTTGTGCTGGGCGTCCACGGACAAGTCGTAGTACTCGACAAAGCGTTGTCTCTTGAACTCGTCGAGGCGTTGAGCAATAGT